GGGGGGGGGGGGGGGGGGGGGCTGCAGCCCCCCTTGGCCCCCGCCCCCAAGCTTGTATGCCTATGTGCCCAAGAGCCCACCACGTGACCTGAAAACTAATAAGAGCCTACAGATAATAAATTGTCTGCTCATGTGTAATACTGTCTAAAGGTGTTTTGCTGCAAATAATATTCTGCTCATGCGTAATAATATTGCAATCACACTCTTGTGTGAAAAATGGCAGATCGCTTCCTAATGAACTGTCAGGGAGTGATAAGCATAAACAGCTGGTTGCCACCCACTGGAACAAAAACAAATCCCTGACTTAACTTTTCACTGACTGTAAAGCAATTTTCAGTACTGACTATGCAGGATGATTATTCTGGCCATGAATCAACAAGAATAAGAATGGCTCAGATAATTCTTGTCACAAAAATATCTCATAAAATAGTTTTCAGTGATATTCCCTGACTTTTCACTGACTTTGTACTGGGACGCAGAAATTCCCTGACCTGATACAAAACTCCCTGACTTTTCCCTGACCTTGAATACAATCTCATTTTCCTTGACTTTTCCCTAAACGTAGCAGCCCTGATAAAATATGAAAAAACTTGGTGATCGAACGAAAAATCAATTAGTATCGAACTAGGTTATTGGCTTCAGCAAATAATCTATCTACTTGCCACTGGCAAATCAATAATCAAATAAAGCTTATGCAGTTACCAGTTTATGCTATTATGTTTGGGTGTCCGATAAAATAATAGCGGCAGCCTTACCCCCGGCCGTTGATAAAACCCTGAACATGGAACATTCCGGAATATCCCGGAACATTCCGGAATATCCCGGAACATTCCGGAATATCCCGGAACATTGAAAATTATGAGAAAAATATGCAAAATTAATTTTTCAAAAATTAAATTAAACAAAAATAAACTGGTATCAGTTTGGAAAATAAAAAGCAAAACAAAAACGTTACAAACGTAAAAAAAAACAACAAATAAAAGCAAAACAAAAAAAGGAAAAGAAACGAGAGAAAAATGAAAATGACTGCAATGAGTGATGGCTCGCAACTTAGAAGACTAATCCATTCCTTCCAGTCGTTCGCCATCAGTTTAATCATGTGGCTGTCCCTTATTCCCAGATTTCGTTGTTCATAGAAAATCAAGGTTGTGGCGTTCGAACTCTTTAATCAGACCGAAAAATATGGGTACACGAGTGTGATTTCTTTATTCAATTCAGTATGTCAGTTCAAAGATATGTATTTATAAAATAACTGAGCCACTACGCGCGCTCTCATTGGTCAATAGGTGTGTTTAGATAAGAGTATGTAAACATGGTTGTCACGTTTTAGATTTGCGTGTGTTTCTGATCAGAATTATTTTATGAGAGCAATAGAGCACTTTTTCCGTATTTGCATAGCCTCATCTAAACACTTGTGTGGTTGGGAGAATTCTCGAAAGTTATGCAAACCCTTGACTACGTTTCGGGTTTGCATAACTGTCTTGAATTCTCCCCAACCCTCCTCGTGTTTAGATGAGGCTGTGTAAACACAGAAAAAGTGCTCTATTGCTTAAATACACGATTTCTCATGAAGAAATAGTTTCTCCATGAGATAGAAATAGAAACTCTTAGGCACTGAGTTTCTTGTGTAAACTAGTTCAGACTGCTCAAGCTGTGATGACAGTGTAAACAAATACAAACACAAAATTTAAAAACATTTGGCGACGTGCTGTCTTACAGGGTCGCTGGTCAAAACTTTATTGTCTCAAGAAGTATTTGTTACAAGTGTTGGCGATCTGAAATTGAATTCAAAGTGTCGCCAACAGTTCAAATGCCTTTCCTGGAAAATGTTTTCTCCAGTACAAGTTAATTCTTAATTAATTAAAAACTCTTTTACTGTAGGCTATAATCTATTCATTGCTAGTTCAAGTTCATGTGCAGATTGTTATCTGTCATTCGATCCATTTGAATGCCACCAAAGTAGACCAAACATGTCAAGTACACGCCTGAACACACTACTCTAATCTTTGACCGAAAAGGCTGAGTCTGCACTTGGTGGGTCATAGCGCCAGGCGTTCCTAGCGGAGAGCGCGAAACTGGGGATGATAATTGCAACATGAAGACGGAACAGTAGTGACAAAATTATGTCTACTGACTTAACAAGCTATACTGTATGATACTCCTACGAAAACCTCAGATGTTGAAGAAATCGGGGATCAACAAAGGAAACACAATGAATTACCTGGCATTCATCATCTGAATCGTCTAGGTTTGTGCTATAAAGCCCTGTGACACAATTGGCCGAAAAGAAGAGGAGCCTGCACTCATTGTGGTCAGTTGAAGGAATACCCAACGCTTCCTACCCCCGAAAATATATATAATACTATTATGTTATTTGCCGGCTGGGAGGTCCGTATGGTGAAAAACTGTGACCGAGGTCTTGAAAATGCTACGGCCTTGGGCAGCATTTTCAAGCCCGAGGTCACAGTTTTTCACCATACGGACTGACCGTAAGCCGACAAATGCTTGAGAAAAAAATAAATTTTCATATTTCCAGCTGAACCAGTTTATTTTTGTTTATTTTATTTTTAAAAATTTAATTTTAAACATTTTTCTCATAATTATCATAATTATTCGCTGTTCCGGGATGTTCCAGAATGTTCCGGGAGGTTCTGGGATGTTCCATGTTCCAGGTTTTATTGACGGTCTTACCCCCCTGAGATTCCATTAAAATTGATTTATAACAGATCTGATGGCCCGCTGGATTAGAAAAGGCAAATAAAATGTGTGGATTGATTGAAGAAAACGAGAGGGCACGGTCACGAATCCTGTAGTCTGATTTATTTAGTTGTTATCGCGTTCCGCGATCGATGTGTGGGTGGAAAAGGTCAACAACTATAAAAGTGATTTGAGAGAGAGGGAGGGAAAAAAACATTGAGTTACTTACATAGCGAAACTGCCCTTGGCGCGCGTGCGGCCTCGGACAGCATTTTCAAGACCTCGGTCACAGGTTTTCATTGCACGGACCTCCCAGCAGGCAAATAACATAGTTCATATAACGTTTTGCTAAATTACACAAGAATAGTTTCGTGTAGAAGTATTTTTCAAAAGCTTGTTTACAAAAAAATGATGAATCCCTAGCGGCCTGTAGGTTATTGGTTTCGTAAGTGTGTTCTCTCTGCTCATAAGTCGAAGGCCTTCAACCTCGCTTGCTTATGGAGGACGTAACTTGTCGATCAAAGTCGATCATCGAAAACGTAGTCGATAAGTCGATAGTACTCGATATTTGTTGATAATTGTCAATCGACAGGTTTAATTTGTCGATAAAAGTCGATAATCACAAGATTTTCAACTGATTATCGATTTTATCGACAAAAATGCAGACATTTTTCAATCGGCTACGAAATTATATAAGTGTCAACAGCTCTTAAGTAAATCCGTATGGCAATAAAGTTGAATAAAAAACTAATTTGTCGATCAAAGTCGATAATCACAAGAAATCGTGTGATCAATTTTTATCGACATGTGGTATTTGTCGATTGATTAGTATCAAATTCGATCGACAACGATCGATTATTATCGACTATCGAAATTATCGACATGTTACGTCCTGGTTTATATCATTTGATCACGACCGCTGTGTTTTCTCATGGTAAAGTAACGCTCGCTGTATCCTGCAGCAATAAACGAAATTCCCGCGTGCGCTCCCGATACCTCGTTTAAGGTTTTGTTAAAATTAATGATTAAAATATTTCACAATCGTTTCAGTGTGATTAGTGAAAAGCTTACTACACCGGTATCAAGTTACATGTACCTTCTCTGGGACACCTCTGTGATCGCTGCTACCTTGATAAAATCGACGTTCGTATCCCTCAATGAAGCCTGGAACTTTACTAGCGAAGGGAAAATTAGCCTTCCAGGTCAACGATCCATAACCAAATATCCACAAGTTATCTTCATCTGACATACTGTCAGCTACTGTCCGCCGACAAGCAGATCAACAGGTGCAACGACCAAGGGAGGCAGAGGAGAGAGAGCCTGGGAACGAGTTTACGGGTGGCAAGCCAAATCGACGTCGCGTCATGTCACGTTGCGTGGCAACCAAAATACTTGGTTCTATAAAGGTCGGAAGGGGGTGGGGTAGGGGGGAACGTTTGACTTTTGAAGAGGGGTGAACAATTTTGAAGAAAATATCCTGCAAGCAAACTTGTAACCCCCAAAAATTCATTCACACGACCATTGGCAAGCCAAATCGACGTTGCGTCATGTCACGTTGCGTGGCAACCAAAATACTTGGTTCTATAAAGGTCGGAAGGGGGTGGGGTAGGGGGGAACGTTTGACTTTTGAAGAGGGGTGAACAATTTTGAAGAAAATATCCTGCAAGCAAACTTGTAACCCCCAAAAATTCATTCACACGACCATTGGCAAGCCAAATCGACGTTGCGTCATGTCACGTTGCGTGGCAACCAAAATACTTGGTTCTATAAAGGTCGGAAGGGGGTGGGGTAGGGGGGAACGTTTGACTTTTGAAGAGGGGTGAACAATTTTGAAGAAAATATCCTGCAAGCAAACTTGTAACCCCCAAAAATTCATTCACACGACCATTGGCAAGCCAAATCGACGTTGCGTCATGTCACGTTGCGTGGCAACCAAAATACTTGGTTCTATAAAGGTCGGAAGGGGGTGGGGTAGGGGGGAACGTTTGACTTTTGAAGAGGGGTGAACAATTTTGAAGAAAATATCCTGCAAGCAAACTTGTAACCCCCAAAAATTCATTCACACGACCATTGGCAAGCCAAATCGACGTTGCGTCATGTCACGTTGCGTGGCAACCAAAATACTTGGTTCTATAAAGGTCGGAAGGGGGTGGGGTAGGGGGGAACGTTTGACTTTTGAAGAGGGGTGAACAATTTTGAAGAAAATATCCTGCAAGCAAACTTGTAACCCCCAAAAATTCATTCACACGACCATTGGCAAGCCAAATCGACGTTGCGTCATGTCACGTTGCGTGGCAACCAAAATACTTGGTTCTATAAAGGTCGGAAGGGGGTGGGGTAGGGGGGAACGTTTGACTTTTGAAGAGGGGTGAACAATTTTGAAGAAAATATCCTGCAAGCAAACTTGTAACCCCCAAAAATTCATTCACACGACCATTGGCAAGCCAAATCGACGTTGNATTAATTATGATAATAATTATCATAATAATAATAATTAACTGACCAGTAATTACTATGCTTGTCATTCTCTGTTCTTCAGGGGTGTGTTAAATTTACCTTGTTTTATCTGAGGCAGCGAGCTCGTTGTGTTCTGTAAGTAACCAAGTTATAAATACCCAGTGATATTATCCTGATTAATATGAAAATATATGCACCTTGAAAGATTTTTGCTCCTCTTTTTTTGACTGTAGTTTCAGTGAATTATTGACTTCTAAACACACTTAAATGCTTGTTCATTACAGATAAAAAATTTCTAACTGGAGGCTTATTAGGGAGGTGCCTCTTATCAAGAATTGAAGTGAGGGAGGGCACTTATATAGTGAAAGAAGAACAGAGGTAGTAAAATCAGCAGAAAGCCGTTTTAAAAGGGGGAGGTTTTCAAAGAGGAATTACAGCAACTATTCATTAAGAAGGTTTGCATTTAGAGGAAGAAGTTGATAGACCATTCTTCACTAAAGCCTCTAACTGAAATAAATGATCATCGGTTATCTCTGGATGAATGCTTCGCACTGCTTGAGCAAGATTCATGAGGTACTCAGTGTTTGTGCCACTGGGACCTTTGGACTGTAAAATTTGTTCAGCAATCTCAGATAAGGGGGCAGGTCCAAGATAAAATTCATTGCAAGGTGTTGCAATGTATATCTTTGCTTGGAAAGGACATCTGTGCAAATCCTTTGGATGAAATGTCACCCATGTAGCTTTGTAACCATTTTTCTCTCGAAAGTCAAGGTAGTCAATCACTTTTGGTATGTCTTTTGCTGCAATTTCATAGGCAGTTCCCCATACTTTTTCCTGCAATGTACATGAACACATACAGTGTCAAAGGTGAGTGAACATTTTGCTTGCACTGCTTGCCTACCATACTTGATACAAAACCAAAACTGTAGTTAGTTAAGCTGAAACTAATATTAGTTAAACTTTAGTTTATTCTTTCCATAGCCAGATGCAACATGCATTTCTCTTTTCATATTTATTTCATAATACTGATGTGAATTAATTCTGTAAAATTAATAGTGTGCAATAAAAGTTGATTAATTAGAGATTTCCAGAACAATAATTGAAGAGAGCATTGTGCAGTTCCAGATATTCTTATGTAAGTTCATAGTAGATTCTGAGGGGAACAGGTGTCTCGAAAGCCAAACATTTTGAAGGAAATCATAAAGCTGACCTGGAATTTCTGGAGGGGTGGGGTGGGGGTTCAGGTTTAAACCAAACAACCTTCTGTGGGAAGCATATCAGAATATCTGGAGCAAAACCTTTACAAAGTTTAACTAAATCAGGCTTCATTTAGCATCAGCCATGGCAATTTAAAGTGCTTCATTGGTTGTAAAATCCACATCATTGCTGTGTAGCACATTCAGATATAAATTTTTATCCCAAGACTGATCGACATACACATGCTGTTTCTCCTTACAAAATCAGAGCAGTGTCAAGATTACAGGTGATAGCATTAATCCTGAGGGTGGCTCCCATATGAAAAGGTCGGGGATGCTTGTCAGAAAAATTATTTGAATTAAACGCCAAAGGAGACCAATTTGGGTGTAGCTCGAGCTTTTTTTTAAAATGGAATAGGCTTGACTACCAGCTCTTGTTCAGGAAAGGAGCCCTTGCTGGTAGACCAGACTAGAGAGACCTGTGGATAACAAGCCTAAAAATGGAAATAAGGGTGTTTTTTTCATGTAATATACCAAACAAGAGAGACAGTGTTTCATCGGGATATCGAAACACCAAGAAGAGAGTTGAAAATACGATGTGCAGCGCAGAGTATTTTTGACGAAATCGATCAAGGTGTTTGCTTAGCTGATGAAAGACTGTCTCGATTGTTTGATATATCTTTTCAATTGAAACAAAAACAAGGAGTAAATGGAGAAGTAAAATCGTCAAAATCTATGCTAATTAAGACTGGGTATCCAAACCTCCTTCACAGTTGTGATTTTCTTTGTTTTAACTTCATAAATTATTAACGAGTTTGAGAATATTATTTCTTTGAGTGCAACCTAAAAGATACTTTGACCCCAGGGAGTAATATACGGCCAGATATGAATGAATGTGAATTGGAAGATTCAGAGATAAGAACTGACAGATAAACACACTCTAAGCTCACCTCAGGATTTTCAAGAAGAGTAACTACCCTTCCAGGCTGAAAACAAAATGAAGAGAAATAAATGAGCTTTAATTTAATCAACTAACCAGTAAAAATTCGATGTGCTATGTTATTGAAAGCATGAAACTTTAAGACTATGTCTTTTTGGGGGGAAGGGGAAGGGGAGAGGGATCATTCTTCAGGCTAGATTGTTTCAATGTATCAAAATATTATAAGTCTCATTAATTTATCAAGATTAGAAATTTGCAAATTTGCATAACATCATGCAAAACAAAATTTCAACCTTGATTTTATGCTTTTGGATATATCATAGTTAGTAGAAGTCCCCACTACTAACTATGGATATATCAAAATGGTTACTACAGTTCCCTATCAAATGCTTTGACATTAATAATATTAAGCAACCATGTCATTAGGCATCTCTTGATGATACTTGCTTATACTTGTCAATAAAATCTCAAACCTGAGTTACCTTGCGAGCATAAACCCCAGATTAACCAATAAAAAGTGAGCAAAGATAATAAATATGTCCATAACGTCAATTTGATAAAAATTTGTCATTACCCAGAACAAAACTGAGAACAGAAATCAATGCTTTCTTAATTTAATATCTTGAATAATTTTAAAAAAATTCTTGTTAATTTAGTGAACATTTACATATTATTTTGAAAGTGTGCGAGTTCCCAATTTTGACAATAGGATTGGTAAAAGCTCAAATCTTTCAGTAGGATATGACATGTTGGTTGTAATTTTCATGACTCAGGTCCAAGACATGAGAGCTCAGTGATAGCTGGTAGATATATTATCATCATTCAATGCATTTTTTTTCTCCCTTTTCATTGGCCAAGCATAGGTGTACGGGCACCTTCGGACTTGGCAGGGGATGGCTTTCTTGCCCAAAAAAAATTACACAAAGCCGAATGCGAGAGTACTGAAATCGGGTTGAAAAATGCACTCAAATTGCATGAAAACAAATATGTTTACATTGTTCCCACATCTAATAAACAGTAGTTATATTCAAAGCTTACATAATCAATCAATCATACTCCATCGACAATCTCAATTCGAGGAAAATCCAAAACTTATTAAAAGAAAAAATTCTAAAACAGTAACTTATAACTAGAAAATTTATTTACGTCAGTAAGGGAAATCATGCAAACAGCATTATTTTGTAATATTTCTCTCAAGCGTCATTTCCCGAATCATTAGCATTTTGCCTGAAAAATCACATAATTTCTGTTGCTGGGGGGGGGNCTTGGCCCCCGCCCCCAAGCTTGTATGCCTATGTGCCCAAGAGCCCACCACGTGACCTGAAAACTAATAAGAGCCTACAGATAATAAATTGTCTGCTCATGTGTAATACTGTCTAAAGGTGTTTTGCTGCAAATAATATTCTGCTCATGCGTAATAATATTGCAATCACACTCTTGTGTGAAAAATGGCAGATCGCTTCCTAATGAACTGTCAGGGAGTGATAAGCATAAACAGCTGGTTGCCACCCACTGGAACAAAAACAAATCCCTGACTTAACTTTTCACTGACTGTAAAGCAATTTTCAGTACTGACTATGCAGGATGATTATTCTGGCCATGAATCAACAAGAATAAGAATGGCTCAGATAATTCTTGTCACAAAAATATCTCATAAAATAGTTTTCAGTGATATTCCCTGACTTTTCACTGACTTTGTACTGGGACGCAGAAATTCCCTGACCTGATACAAAACTCCCTGACTTTTCCCTGACCTTGAATACAATCTCATTTTCCTTGACTTTTCCCTAAACGTAGCAGCCCTGATAAAATATGAAAAAACTTGGTGATCGAACGAAAAATCAATTAGTATCGAACTAGGTTATTGGCTTCAGCAAATAATCTATCTACTTGCCACTGGCAAATCAATAATCAAATAAAGCTTATGCAGTTACCAGTTTATGCTATTATGTTTGGGTGTCCGATAAAATAATAGCGGCAGCCTTACCCCCGGCCGTTGATAAAACCCTGAACATGGAACATTCCGGAATATCC